GAAAAGAGGACAGACAATGGCCATGTGGTCCCTGTGCCCCTTCTGCCCAAGTGGCTCCAACCCCAAATGAGATGGGGGATGGATGTGCACATCTCTGGGTCCTTAAAACTGAGGTGGTAGTTAAGAGATGGGCAGCACAGCGGGTCCAGCTCAGGTTTGGGGATCCCACATCTGCCATCCCCCCCCCAAGTGGGGGGCGGGCAAAGCCCTGCAGGCTAGCTTGGACATGCATCCAAGTCGAAAGTCTGCTCTGACTTGGAGTCAGGCATCTGTTACCATGTGAAGGCTGAAGCCTGACCCCCCCCTCTATCCCTGTCTCCCCCAGGACTGACTGCCCAGGAGCTGTGGCCAGCTCCTGGTACTCACGCCAGCTGGCTGCGGCTCTCCCACAAGGGTCAGTTTCTAGAGCTATCAGATGCTGTGGCTGCAGGCTTGTTTGTCTCCATGGCAACAAGCCTGGCCAGTTTTTGGACAACAGCAGCCCCTTGGGGAACCTAATCCATGAAGAAGGGATGGCAGAACCCAGTGTAGGGATGGCAGGGTGGAGGGCAAATGATGCTGGGCGCCCTAACCACAGGTAGCTCTGAGCATTGGTCTTTTAATTTTTAAGTAATTTCTATACCCAGTGTGGGGCCTGAACTTAGAACCCCGAGATCAAGAGTTGCATGGTCCACGGACTGAGCCAGCCAGGTACCCCCGGGGCAATGGTCCTTTAGAACCCCAAGAGAAACTCACTGGGACAAAGTAAGGGCAGAGGTGGGGCTTCACTCTGGTGAGGGACCTTCCTGGGGGTTCTGGCTGGGCACTTGGCTACCCAGTGAGGACTCTCTGCAGCCTCACTTTGCCCTAACCCTCGAGCTTCATTTCCTGATTCTGTAATCTTACTGCTCCAGCCAGTTGTCCCATTCATTCATTTGTTCATTCTCTTGGTCCTCACAATGAACCCAGAAAGTGGGGGTGCAATTATTATGTCCCTTTCTAAATCAAGGAACACATATAAAGTAGCTGGGTTGGGGCACAGAGCTAACGAGGGGCTGGAATCGTTATCCATCGCTGCATGACACATGTCCCCACAACTCAGTGCCTTAAAACAACACGTCTATGATCTTACAGTTTCCGCAGGTCAGGTTGCAGGCGCGGCTTTCCGGTCCTCTGCTTCTGGCTCTGTCACTGGCGCGTCAAGGTGTCCGTGGGGCTCTACGCGTCTCAAGGTTCAGGGGTAGGATCCGCTTCCCGTTCGTTCAGTGGTGTGGGCAGGATTCACGTCTTGGGGTGGTGGCCCTCCGTTCCCAGCCACGGGGCCCTCTCCAGCATGGCAGGTCACTTCTGCAAAGTCAGCCCGCCAGGAGGGTGCATGCGTACGGGAGCATGTGCGCATGCGCGGGCGCGTGTGCGTGCGCGTATGTGCGGCGTGCGCGCGTGCGCACAGGTGCCTACCGTGCGGGTGTGCGTGCGTGCAGGTGCTTGGGGACGCGCTTAAGTCACCGATGGTGGAGGTGGCGTCACATCACTTTTGCCACTTTCCATTAAAGCAAGTCAGTGGGTCCTGAAGAGGAGAGCGAAGGCCAGGCGGCGGCACCCCTGTCTGCCCCCCTCCCTGAAGGAAGCCGGGAAGAGTTCCTCCTCCTCCCCAGTCCCAGATACGCGCCGCCTGTCCGCCACCGCTCAGTCGGGGTTGAATGGTGCCCTCACTTTTTCAGGGGGTGTTTGTGGAGGGCCTAGTGCATTTCGGACAGGTGCGGTTCTGCCCCCAGCGGCTCCGTGCTGGTGACAGACCTTGAGGCTGCATCTTTATCCACAGCCTTACGTGCCTCTGCAGAAAAAAAAAAAAAAAATGTCTTTTCATTATTTCCTGTAACTGAGCTGAGATTTCTCACAAACCCTAGTCCCAGGGCAACAAGGAAGAACACTAGATTTAGTCTAATCTGGTTAATTTAATCTGACCCAGTACTTTAGGTCTTTCAGGTAATGTCTTTAGGTAATGTTCGGTCTCAGATTTCCTTCTGCTCCATCCTCAGCCCCCTCCAAGGTGGCATGGGGTCTGGAGCCCCGGAGGCTTCCTGGTGGAGGGGGTCAGGGATTCTAGCCACGTCTGTTGCCCGGGATCACTACAAGCCTTTCTGGCACTCGGGACTAAAGCTGGCGGCTGGAAGAACACATGCTCTGGACCCAGAGCCCTGCCTGGCTGACTTGTCTCTTCCCTGGCTCAGAGCCCTTGCCTCCACTGCATCTGGACCCTGCTGGGGCTGTCCACCATCCTAACACAGTGTCCCCTCTATGAAAAGGGACATTCTGGGTCCCATCCCAGCCATGGGAGGACCCCGTGTAGTCAGGGAAAGTACAACATTGGGGAAGGCTTCCTTCCTTTCAACCTGGGGCACTTGCCTGGTCCCCCCAACTTAAAATGATGGGCACTGCACTCAGTGTAGCTTCCCCTTTGAGTCCCCAGAGGGTCAGTGCAAATCCCTGCCTTAGGAGCTGGCTCTACTTGTATTAAACAAAAAAACTATAATAAATAAATAATAAAATAAAATAGAAGTAGCTGATACTTAGATTGCTTGTAAATACCAGAATTTACACTAAGCACTTCACACACTCATTAAACATTCAAAGCAACTCTGTGAGGAAGTACTCAGTCCCATTTTACAGATGAGGAGACTGAGGCACAGAGATGTGAAATAATAATATGCTCCCGGTCAGAGAGTTCTTAAGTGGCGGAGCTGGAATTTGAACCCAGGTAACCCTGCATCCCTACTCTGCATCACCACCCCCCTCTATGTCCCTGTGCTCTCTGGGCTGAAGCCAAGAGAGGGGCAGGAGGATGTCCTCCCTTCTTCTATGCATGCTCTCCTTCTGCCCTAGACAGCAAGCCTGGGGGCATGGGTGAAGGGAGACCTCTATTTTCTTGGGAAAGTACTACACCTTTGCTATGTTCATTGGTACCTAAAGGACTTAAAAAGAAATGTTTTCTTACAGTGGTGGCTTTCAAGTCTACTGTCTTGTGGCAAAATCTGTTTTGATTAAGAGGAACTGAATATTGCCACAATCCTGCTCTTTGTTCCTCTGTATGAATGCACATGGTCCCCAGGCAGATGGATATCTGAGGACCAAGGGGAAGGGCTGTTTACCCAGAGAGGCATAGAGGAAAGCAGTCGTATTCTTCACACTATTACTTGTTACAGAAATTATCACACACTCAATTAGAGTCGTGGTAAATGTACTGAAGGAGAAACATTCAGAGCAGTGAGTATATAACAATTGGCTTCATCAGTTCAGGTGCTGTGACAAAGTACTATGGACTCGGTGGTCAGAGCCTCTGTCACAGCTCAGTCCCTGTCGGCAAACTCTGGGACCTGGGCAGAGGGCCAGCCTCAGATTCCCCACCTGAGGAAGAAAGAGCCATCCCTCACCTCCGAAAGGATGAAGCAGATAGATCTCCGGAGGGTGACCAGGCATGCTGACAAGACATGCTGTCAGGATCCCCCAGGGCCGAATGATGCAGAAGTTCCGAGATTGCTCGCGCTCAACCTCTCTCTCTCCTCCATCCTCCTTCATTCCTGCCCTGATCTAAGCCTATCTAAATGAGAAAACCACGAATACTGATAGTGTCACTACCACGGACTATGTCAGGCTGTGCAAGCATTAGAATATCGAATTCTCAGAAGCAGCCCAACACAGTGGGTGGTATTATCATCCGCATTTTAGGGAAAGCTGAGGCTCAGAGAGGTGAAGCAACTTGTCCATGATGACACAGCAAGAATGTGGCAGCCTAGGTTTCGTCCTCAGGTCTATCTGACATCAAAGCCTTCACTAGGCTTCCATTGCTGCTGTGCCTTTCAGGTTCCTGAAAGAAGGGGTGGGGAGAGAAAAGAATTTGCCCCAGAAAAAAATTTCAAGAGCCAGACTCTAGAAATGCTTGTTAGTTCCCTGTCATGGTCCCTGCCTTCCCCTCACTGTGGAGGAGACAGGCCAGGAAGCGGAGCTGTGTGAGGATATGTGAAAACTTGCAGAGAAAGCCGTTCTGGAATGTTCTAGAACAGGCAGTGAAGTTTCCTCTGGGGACAGATGGAGAGGTTCCAGTCCATTTAACTGGAGGAGACGGGGTGGGGCGGAGGGATGTTAATGTTGCTAGTTGATGGTTAATGTTCTCTCCCGAGAGTATTTATGATTTATGCCCAGGTTTTTAAACAAAATTCAACCAAGTTAGATTCAGTGTCCCAGGAAGCTAAGGAGAAAGCATTCGTGCAAATGACGTTTTGAGGGGGATGAAAAGATATTCCAGAAAACTTGCCCCCTTTTAGACTCTACTTGTCCAAAGCAGAGTCTGTCTTATCACAGGGACCCCTTGCAGGTGTTTCCCAGGTCTCTGCACTTGAAGAAACTGGCATCTTTTCTCTGCATTCTAGGCCTCTTGCCTTGGTTGGATCAAACGGGATCAAAAACAAAGCCCCAGATGTTCTCACTGTCATATTAGCCAAACCCTTTTGTGGTTCTCATTTTGGGGCCTGACTGGGAAGAAGAAAGAATCTGTGTGTTAGGACTCTGTGAATTATAAGTGACAAAAGCCCGATTCATACTGTGTAAGCAAAACAGAGAATGCATTGGCTCCTATAACTTAAAAATCTAGAATTAGATTTAGTGTCAGGTAGGGCTGGATCCAGTGGGGTGGGTGGGAGTAGGGAATCATAGGGCTGATTTTCAGTGACCTGACCTGGTGGAGATGCCCGTGGCCGAACCTGTCATGGTGGCTATAAGGATGTGGGAATCTGAATGGGCCTCCGTGGTGGGCACTGAAAAGGGGTAAGGGAGCATTCACCATGAGAAGCCTGTGGTGCTGTTAGAATAAGTGTCAAATCAACAGAGAGATCTTCTTAAGTTTTGTGTGATCCTATGAGACCTTAAGACTCTGAGCCATTTCAAGCTTTGAGGAACCTTACAGAGCACCTGGGTTGGGGTGGTAACTATGTGACACCAAATATTCCATCCTTCCGATCCTTCAGTTCATGGAAGACATTGCTAATCGACCACAACACCGTTTCCTAGTGAGCCCGAATACGGCCTCAGAATCCATCTCAACACTACACTGGAAGCAACCTGTGTCCACCAGTTGGTGTTAGAACATGAGCCAAGACCGATCTGCAGTTTGTCTTCTCAGCCCGTGGAGATAAGAAAACAGAAGGTCTGAGGGTTGGTTCACCCAGTGTCATGCGGGAACTCAGTGATCGGCCCTGCTGATGCTTGGGCAGCCTCCTTTCCTGTGGCATTCTCCTGATTCTAGCATAGAGAGGAGCTCTGTCCATTAGTGGAGATTTCCACTCCAGACAGCTGCGGCACATGGAAAACAAACAGATTTGAGGTCAGAGGAAAGGCAGAGAGCTTAGCTGCTGACCTGTCTCGCTGAGTGCTGTCTGGAGCTGAGTGCAGCACCGGGGGGCAGCGAGGCAGGGCGAGGCACGGGGAACCCACTGGTCCATCCACAGACATCTAAGTGGGCTTTTGAAGGCCCTACCTTAAATGCAATAAACCCGGGTAACGTGCTCTACTAGCCTCACATTCTCAAAAGGGGGTGATGCTGAAGTTACTCTCTTCTGGGGATGGGAGCGGGGTTGCCTTGGAGGGGAGGACACATATTTGGCAACCACTACAGGAAAGCCAGAAAATAGAGAGAAAGCCCTGACATAGCTATTACTTGCCCAGCTCAGCCGCACCCAGTCAGAGGAAGAACAGAGGTGCCCCGAACCAGCTGATGATTTGACTAGAGGAAGGTAAGCAGTGTCCTGACCCCGAGAAGCCTATTGTGACATATATAATACAGGGACTTAATGATTGTAGTGGGCTGACATGGGGCTCGCGGTGCGCCTCTCGCAGAGCCAAGAGCTTTGCATCGATTAATTCAAATCCACATGACAATCCTATAAAGTAGGTGGAGTTATTCCCCAGGAACAGATGTCGAACTGGAGGCTTGGAGGGAGGGGATACAGCTACCCATGGCCACGCTTGAGTAAGGGCAGAGCCGGGCTTGAGGTCAGGTCTGCCTGAGCCCCATTCGGACGAGCTGCACTCCACGGGCAAGCAGCCATCGTGAAAAGGAACAGAACAGAGTATGTGAGTCATTGGCGAACCATTAAGCACATCGTTCCCCACAGCAGTTTCGTGCAAGGTGCTGGGTGGAAACAGAGAAGCACGTGGGATCCCTGCCCTCGGATCATTCCCAGAAAGGATGGGGTGTGCACTTGGGAGAATGTCACCATGGAGGTTGGTAGCAGAAATAAATGCCTGTCATGACTCCCTCTGTTGAGCTCATGGCCCACAGCCAGGTGCAGTCCACAGTCTAGAAACTTCTGGGCTACAACAAGCCCCCCTATGTACAGGTGAGAAAACTGAGGCTCAAAAAAAGAATTGACGTCCCCCCATGTCACACAGCCAGTGTACAGGGGGGCCAGGACTCTAATCCATACTGGGTCCCGGTGCCGCTGACCCCTCTGGGGGCCCCTGAGAACCAGTAGGAACCGAATGGTGGAAGTGGCAAGGCATCTGAGAGGAGGATCCTGGGTGGGCTCTGGATGGAGGCCCTGATGCCTAAGCCGTTCCCCCAGGTGGGGGCTGCCGTGATTATGGCAGCACCTGTGACGTCCCTTACCTGGGCTTAAAGCCAGCCCAGTGCCTGCCTGGTCCTCGAGAAGCACCCAATTTCACAGATGGGGCCCCAATTATGATTGCTTCTTTCCTTTCGGAAATTTAATTTTAATTTCTCTGGCTTTCCCCTTCTTCGCGGGGTCTGGTCCTCATCAAGGCAGCCTGTCTGACGACAAAAGCAGATGCTCCCAGGTAGGCTGGACACACCCACGCCTCCGGTGGGTCTGGCAGAGGCCGGAGGGGGGTCAAGTTTGTGGCTAATCCTCTTCCTCATCAGCAGTCAGCTCCTAGGAACCCCTGAGGGAGGCTCTGGAGGGGCTGCTGATTGCAGAACCAGCTGGAGGGAAAATGCGCCGGCAGGGGTGGCCACAGCCAAAGCCTGCAGTCGCCAGAGCTTTGCTGCGGTGAATTGGAAATGGTGCCACACTCGGAGCCATCAGACCCCGGTGCAGATCCCAGGGCCACAACTCACTGCTAAGCCCCTTTGCCTCGACGAGACTCAGCTTATCCCCAGCAGTGCCTTTAGCCCTGGGTCTACTTGTCCCTACTGTTGGCTAACTTCACTGTGGACAACAGCTGTGCTCGGGGCGCCCAAGCGAAACGGAAGACATATTTCTGCCCCAGCCCCAGCCTGCCCCTTCTCTCCCAGGCCCCTGACCTGCCCTCAGCCTCAGGAGTTCCCGGCTTCACCCTTTGTCCAGGACCATCAGAGAGATTCTGATAACAGTAGTTCTGAGACTGAGAAGGGGTCGTAGTGAGGACAGCATGTCCCTGCAGCAAAATTCTAACCTCCTGGCCCTTCCTCCAAGTTTTTCAGGCCAGAGAAGGGGGACTCATCACTTGGGACGTGCAGGGACACTGCTTTGAATCCTAAACTCTGCCGAAGGCCTTCTGCCTGCCTGGTTCTGCTTTGGTGTGGTCTGTTGGGTTCTATGTCATAAATCTACTCTGACAATTTCAGGTAAAAATGGGACACATTGGGAGGTAATAGAGATGTTCCTTTTGGTCATAAAAAAATAAATAAAAATTTAGAAAACCCCAGTAAACCTAACAAAAGTAATTTGAAGAAAGATTTTCTTGCCTCATGTAATGGAAAAGTCAGCGGTAGGGTGGGTTTCAGATAAAGTTTGATCCAGCCACTCAACATTTTGACTGGGAGCCAGAGTGCCACAGTGCCTACCCCTTTTCTACATACATCTGTGTGCTTATGCCCCCAGAACGTCCACCGTCACCCCAAATATCCATGACCTTTCAGCTCAAGTATCTGCACCAACTGGAATGCTCTTCTTCTTCTTTTTTTTTTTTTAAAGATTTTATTTATTTATTTGAGAGAGAGAGAATGAGAGATAGAGAGCACAAGAGGGAAGAGGGTCAGAGAGAGAAGCAGACTCCCTGCTGAGCAGGGATCCCGATGTGGGACTCGATCCCAGGACTCCAGGATCATGACCTGAGCCGAAGGCAGTCGCTTAACCAACTGAGCCACCCAGGCGCCCCCTGGAATGCTCTTCGATGTCTCTTGGTTCACCTTCCTCAGGAGGGAATCTGATGTCCGGGTTCATCCTTTTGGGCCAGGCACCAGAAGTCTTATGTTTTTGGCCAGTGAGTGAATGGTCTCTCCAGGGTCCAGTGTCCAAGGCTTGTTCAGATAGCAGTGGCCAGACCACAAGGGTCACACGTCTATTCCACCTCAGTAGAGGCGGGGTGTCCGAGAAGGGGTCATGGACCAGTCAGGCACCCCAATACCTCCCAGAGAAGTGGAGACTCAGCCCCTGCAAATTCCTCCTGGGGCTGGAGATTAGCCAAAGAGTCTCATTTTGTTCTTAATTAATAACTTCAGGAAAACTTTAAGGTTGGTTCTGGTGAGAATTTTTTTTGCCTCGCTGTTTCCTGAGGCTCCGTTTCTGGTTCATTCAGGAGGAGAAACTCAGACTCAGGCTCTGGCGTGTCCCCCCTGTCAGCAAGTCCCAGGTCATCCTTGGAGGGCCACTGACAGGAGGCAGGGTGGCTTCTCCAAACAAATCTGCATTATTTTATTACTTTCGTACCAGGAAAGAGGCTTGATCTTCAAAACAGTGCACTCACGTCACCGATTAGGCTGGAAGAACTTGTTCGGCCAAATTTAGAACCCACAAGAAGGTCAGAGAATAAATTTAGAACTGAACTCTGAACCTCGAGGGCCAGTCAGGCACTGCTAACTGCCTGTCACCTTGAGTTGGGTTGGTTCCTCCAACCCCTGTGTCCACAGAATTCTTACAGCATAACATGGGCCTGAAGAAGAAGACCTGGCACCTAGGCCTGGCTCTGCTGCTTATAAGCTGTGTGACTCTAGGGATGTGTTTAACCTCTCTGAACCTTCCTTTCATTATCTTTTGAAGAATGGGGGGAGGTGGTCAATAAAAACATCTACCTTACAGGATGTTAGGAAGATTGATTAAGACTTTTCTGTTCTGGTAAAATATACATAACATAAAATTTACCACCTTAACCATTTTTTTTTTTAAACTTTTTATTTATTTATTCATGAGAGACAGAGAGAGAGAGAGAGGGGCAGAGGGAGAAGCAGGCTCCCAAGGAGCAGGGAGCCCGATGCGGGACTCGATCCCAGGACCCTGGGATCATGACCTGAGCCGAAGGCAGACGCTTAACCATCTGAGCCACCCAGGCGCCCCCACCTTAACCATTTTTAAGACTATGGTTCAGTGGCATCAAGCACATTCACACTGCTGGGCAGCCGTCACCACCATCCACCTCCAGAACTTTTTCATTTCCCCCAACTGAAACTCTGTCCCCATTAAACACTAACTCCTCAATCCCCCTCCACCAAGCCCTGGCTCCCACCATTTCTTTCTTTCTTTCTTTCCTTTCTTTCTTCCTTCCTTCCTTTCAAGATTCATTCATTCATTTATTTATTTATTTATTTATTTATTTATTTATTTGAGAGAGAGAGCGCTCGGTCACGCAAGTAGGGGGAGGAGCAGAGGGAGAGAGAGAATGCTCGAGGGACCTCATATAGGACTCATATCATAATTGTCCTTTTATGACTGGCCTCCCTTACTTTGCATCATGTCCCCAAGATTCACTCATGTTGTAGCCTGTGTCAGAATTCCCTTCCTTTTTAAGGCCGAACAGTATTCCATTGTACGGAGAGACCACCTTGTATCTGTTCCTCTGTTGATGGACACTTGGGTTGCTTCCACCTTTTGGCTATTGAGAGTAATGCTGCTGTGAACATGGGTGCATAAATATCTGTTCAAGTTTGGGTATACACCAGAAGTGTGATTAAAATATTTTATGGAGAGCCCTTAGCCCATGCTTGGCATATAGTAAACATTCAGCAGTGTAGCTAATAAAACGAGTGTTAGGAAAATAGTGGGTGAAATTTTTTAAAATGCAAATTAGAGAATGGGATGTCAAATTAGCCGTGACTAACAAAGTAATATTCCTCAATGCAGTT